GGCACTGAGCCTCCAGCTGCTTCCTGCAAATCCTTGCTGCATCTCTCTGATCACAGCCCTCACTCGCCCTGTCATACCCCTGCTGGCACTTAAATCTTACCTCGTTACACGGATTGCCCTTCACTCGTCAGAACATGTGCTCCAGGCAGGCGTGAAATCGGGGGGAATGCCCGTCTTCCCGTAATGGATGGAAGAGGCACGTGAAGCTGCCTGTGCCCGGTTATCTGCGCCCCAGTGCCCGGCAGAGCAAGTAGTAATTGACCAGCGGTTCTTGGGGTTCTCAGATTTGGCTTCTCCAGCGGCTGCGTGGTGTGGTGGCCAGTGAGCAGCAGCAGCTGTGGCATCAGAGGAGGGCTGGCCCATCCGGTTGTACCAAGAACATCTGGGCTGAATGCTGATTCTGCCACCACTTTGGGGCCCTGGGTGGTGGGTGCTGGGAAGGAGGGACTGTTTCACCTCAGAGACACCACGGGTCACATGGTCCTCCAGAGGGACTAGCCAATGGGCAAGGCTGGGCCTGGTGAGGGCAGAGCGTGGTGGGGCCCATTCAAATATTTATGCAGATGGTTGTGGCCTCTGAGGAGGAAGAGAGAACATCTGTTTGTACCTGGAATTTTAATGTTCTCATTGTTTGCTGTAACACGGCAGAGTATCATACGTGTATTCCCTAAGAAGCTCTTACAAGGCAAGAAAGTCATGAAAATGTCTATAAGTGAATGAGAAAAGGCAGGAACTGACAATTCGCAAGAGGAAATAGAGTAAATGCGAGGCCAAAAAATAAGTTTGCTAGTCAAGATCAGCACTGAGAGCGCTGAGCCCTCAACACCCCCTTTGGGAAAGAGCAGAGCCCGAGAAGGAGCCATGGGGGTGCGGCGTCTGCCGGGCCCCACCTGGCCCATGGCCCTCTTCTGAGGACCTGCCCCATGAATCTAAACTGACATGTAGACAGATCGCCATCTCCAGCCCCGTGGTGTCCAGGGAGCAGAGACTTGGGAGCCTCCAGGAGTCCCACCAGGGGAGCCATTCAGCGAAACTTGGACCCAAGCTGGTGCCAAGAGCCCAGGCTGAAGGGGGAGAGATTCTGTACGGGGCGGAGCAGGGGTATTGGGGGGGAGTATTGTGTGTGACATGCAGGGTGATGCAGCCTGGGGCATGGTGGGGGCTCCCCTCTTCCCCCAAATCCTTTGAGGAGTGGTATCTTTATTTATTTTTTTAATCTTCACCAGAGGGCATGCTTATTGATTTTAAAGAGAGGGGAAGGGAGAGAGAGAAACATTGATGTGAGAAAGAAACATCAATCAATTGCCTTCCCATACACAGCCGAACCAGGGATCAAACTTGCAACGTTTTAGTTTACGGGACGATGCTCCAACCAACTAACAGCCATACCGGCCAGAGTAGTACCTTTATTTTTAAATAAGATAAAAGGAAAATGGTCAAGGAGATGACTTGTCTGCATCTTGCTTTGTGCCATTTATGTACAGCCTGGGCCGCGGCTGGGCATTGTCCATGTGGTAGAGCTACCCTGCTTGTGTGGCCAGCCACTGGGTTCCACCATGGCACCCATTCTCCCCCCTCTGGGCCTCCGGGGATCCTAAAAATTCTGGCTTCAAAATGGACTATAGAGGCAACCTGATTCATGCATTTGTTATTCATAAATTTGTTACTAAGTAACAAATTTGCTACTTTTAAACTTATCTATATAGTAGTCCCCTGTTAGGCATGGTTTTACCTTCTGCTATTTTAGTTACCCACAGTCAACTGAAGTCCAAAAATATTAAGTGAAGATTCCAGAAATAAACAGTGCATACGTTTTAAATTGCATGCTGTTCTGAGTAGAGGGATGAAATCTTGCATGACTCACTCCATCCTGGGACGTGAATCATCCCTTTGTCCAGGGTCCACGCTGTACCTGCCTCCCCCCATTAGTCACTTAGTAGCCATCTCTGTTATCAGATCAGTTGCCGAGGTATTACAGTGCTTGCGTTCAAATAACCCTTATTTTACTTAGTAACGGCCCCAAAGCAGAAGAGTGGTAACACTGGCGGTTAGAATATGCCAACGAGAAGCCATAAAGTGCTTCCTTTAAGTGAAAAGGCATGCATGTATAACAGCGACTTTCAACCAGTGTGCCGCAAGAATTTCTAAAACATGCAATACCTGACTAGCCAGGAGCTCTGACATGTTTTCCCTTAGATTGTCAAACGAAAAAACGACAACAGTCAATATAACAATAGCCGTCCAGTGTGAGTGAATCAAAATTACACCTATTTTTTGGTCAGATTGGCAAAAAAGATATTTTTTGATGTGCCACAGAATTTTAGTCATTAGTTTATGTGCGCCATGAGATGAAAAAGGTTGAAAAGTGCTGATGTATAAGAAGAAAAAGTATAAGTTTCAGTACAATCCACGGTTTCAAGCATCCACTGGGGGTGTTGGAATGTATCACGTCCGTGAATAGGGGGGATATTGTATTTTCTTCAGGACCTCAGATGTGGTTTGCTGGCATCTGCAAGGTGTGTAGTTACCATGGTTACCACGAGGTATGTGAGGAAATGCTCTTGGTCTCCTGTGACTGGCCAGGCAACAGTGCAGGAGAGAGTTCGGGTACAGCGTGGTCAGCATCAGAGCAAGTGGGTCTGGGGCACCGGCTTGCCCCAGCCCCCAGCAATCCGCAGGAAGCGGTGGGCATGGTGAGCTGCTGAATGCTGTGTTCCGCAGAACTGGGGGCCTGGGGAAGAACCAGCGGGCTGAGCTAGGAGCTCTCTGCCTGCAGGGACCCTTGGCCCACCCAGCCAACCCCCTCCAGTTCTGCCCATAGGGCCCAGCTCCTTCCTCACTGAGGCACAGCATGTTCCAGTCCCTTCCCAAATGCACGAGGGCTCCTGGGTGCCCGCTGGTTCCAAAAGACCAATCTCCCTTACTCGGGAGTCAGGCCTGGCCCCCCCAGGCCATCTTGTCCAGGGCAGGACACTGGCTGCGGTGGCATGTCCCGCTCTGCATTCTCACGGGTCTCCATTCATACCACTCTAGTGCCGTCAGAAGGCAGGGACCTCGGAGCCTCTTGTTGCCTATGTCTGGCCTGATTGGTGATGGGTGCCAGCCTGCCTGGCACCCGATTCCTGTGGCCAAGCGGAGTGAAGAGGCTGGAGCCGGCTCCCCATGAACTTGAGAAGCGCGGCTTAGCCAAGTCTCTGTTTTGACTTCCCGCTTCAAGAGAGCAGCTGGAGACGAGGTTTCCCTTTCACACGGCTTGGTCCTCCAGATGTTCAGATTGGCACCACCCGCTACCCGACCTCTTGTGTGTCTGAGCCACTGCAAGTTGTGGGAACTATGCCTTAGAAATCATTAATTTTTGTCATTAGGGGATCACCCTGAGCCTCTGGGGGCCATGAGCTGCCCACTACCCTCCAAGGGTCGGGCAGGAAGAGCTGCCTTTGCCACTTCCTGCTCAGTGAGGCCACATCGACTAGATGAGGGATAAAAGGATCCGGGCTGACAGCTCCGCTGTGATGACGCCCAGGCTGTGGCATGTGGAGCCTGGCAGGGAGGCACTGCGCCAGCACCCCGGGACCACTGTCCCTGCCCCTCCTGGCTCTGCACCCAAGAGCAGGATTAACCAAGCTGACTGCACCAGGGGTGGGCGTGGTGTGCTTTGCCCCTTGGCGCAGGTCTTCTCTCAAAGCTGGGGCTGTCTGCTGGGCAGGTCATGACACACACAAGTGGGGGAGCTGAGGTCTGCAGCATGGAGCCGCCGCAAGAACCACCTTCTAGCCCCCTAGAGCGGCCGAGGGGCCTGTCCTGAGGCCCTGAGCAGCGTGTGGGTTTGTGCGTTCTCGCTGCTTGCTCAGGGCTGGCTCCCCTCCCTGTGGCACCTGGGACGCAAGGCCACAGCTTACCCACTCAAATAATCTGATGGCAGGATAGGAGCATAAAATCCCTATGAAATGCTGCCCTTGCCCCAGTCCGACCCGTCAGGAGGAGCATGGGGAGCCCAGGGGTCACAGAGAGTGGAAGGGGGTCAGTCCACCCCGGGAAGGGCCATATGGGGACTTAAGGCCGTCAGCTCACCTGAGGCCCACAGATGGGCTCCATAGAGACCTGAGTGGAAAATGCACGTGCAGGACAGGAGCCCCAGCTTCTGTGAGGGGCCTGGGTGTACACAGTCCGTGTCTTCCCGGGGGACGTGATGTCTTTACCAGCTGCATGGCCCTGTCACATCGTGTCTGTGGCTGCTCTGCCATGTCCAGGGCACCCAGGCCTGGAGTGGGCTGCGCCCCGATCCCGGCCCCTTCATGGCGGAGGCTTAGTGATCAGTCTCGATGCATATCGCCCTTGGGTCCTCACTGCTTCTAGACCTTTCTGTGGTGAGAACCAGGAACTTTATATTTTAAAAAAATAATGAATTTCAAATTTAACATTACGAGGTTTTAACTGTTCTCTGCAACACCCCAGAGCTGTTTGCAGATTTACTTATTGTTAGGACATAACCCTCTGAGGATGTTCAGTTAAAATGTTGGTTCCTTCAGTTTTTGAACAAAGCATCTTTCTATTGCCGTTACCAGCTTCATACACACTCAGGCCCCTTGGTTTCGGGTTATTTATAAGTCATAGGGATTTTTTCCCCATTTTAAATTTAAATTTATTTTTAAATATGTAATCATATATACGATTAAGAAAACAAAACTGTATCACAGGATGTGTTTAGAGAAATCCTATTCCTGTCTCTGTCCCTTCCCCCTGCTTCCTCCCTTTCTGAGGCCCACTGTTTCTGCTGGTCCTGCCTCATCCTTCCATTGATTCTTTGTGCAAATGGAAAGGGTGTGTGTGTGTGTGTGTGTGTGTGTTTGAGGCCTGTGGGGCCAGGAGTCCCTGACAATGTTTGTGTTTGATGTTTTACCAATTCTAAAGTAGGTAAAGTGTTTCAAATAAACCAAGGGATCTTGGTCAGAACTGCTAAAGAAAACTGCAATAAATAAACTGCTCTTTCTTTCCTTCAGGGCGAGTTCCAGAAACCAGAAATCTGAATTTGGAGAAGGCTGGAGTGAACACCAATCCTGAGAGTCAGAAGATCCTGGTTGATGCCCAGGAAGCCACCTCCGTCCCCCATATCTATGCCATTGGAGACACAGCGGAGGTATGGCTAGTGCCCGATGCCTGAACCCCTTCCCCCGGTCCCCCACCCTGGCCACCTACCCTGGCCAGGCCTTGGGGAAACACATGGCTGACAGAGGCTCTGGGCCAAGTCCCAGGTGCCATTAGACTTGAGTTCTGGGAGGAATTGGGCATCAGCCTCTGCTCTCTCGAATGCTCTTCCTTGCCATGGAGGGCAGGTGGGGACGGCTTGGAGCACCGTTAGTAGATTCCTATTGCAAACTGCTGCGTCAGCTCTGAGGCAATGGCACCTGTTCACTGCAGTGGCCGCCTCAACCTCCCCGCACGTGGGCAGAGGTACAGGCACTGGAAATGCTGCCATGTTGGCCCCAGAGCACTGGATCTGACCTCCTTGCCTCAGTTTACGCTCTGATCTCTGGGCAGGTCAGTACTCTCCCTGGACTGGTAGACGGGCAGGGCCTGAGGGCGCTGGAGCCTGACAGGGTGTGGACCCAGCCCCACTCAGGCCTGCCTGTTCCCTCCCCTGGAAAGGAGGGTGCACACCACCTTCGAGTCCCTGGTGGAAGCCCTGTCCCCTCACAGGCTCCTAGCAAGACCTACAGCTGGTCAGTTGTGGGGCCCCTGCTCCTCCAAAAGCCTCAGTTGCAGTCGGCCTGCCCCACACGTGTGCAGCACATACTGAGGAAGTGGCTCAGGAGAGTTCCTGGTCAAAGGGAACTGAGAGGGGCACCAGGCACCCGGACCCCAACAGCCTCCTGGCCTTGAGACCTGCTGGCATCATTGACATGTATGTCAGTTTCCCAGGGCTGCCATCACAAATCACCGCAAACTGGGTGGCTTAGAACGATAGAAGCTGACTTTCTCTAATGCTGGAGGCTGGAGGTCTGAAGTCGCCCCCTCCAAGCCTCTGGGGGAAGGACCTTCCTAGCATCTGATGGCCCAGACGGCCCAGGCTCGGAGCTGCAGCTCTGCAATCTCTGTCTCACGTGACCGTCTCCTCAGGCGGCTGTGCTATTGTTCGTCTCTTGGCAGGACCCTCTCATTGGATTTAGGGCCCACCCTAATCCAGTATGAACTCATCTCCATCCTCACCTTAATCATATCTGCAAAGACCTTTATTTCCCAATAAGGCCACATTCTGAGGTTCCAAGCAGAGGTGAATTGGGGTGGGGGAGGGCTATTAAACCCACAGTGATAGGCTAATTTACATTCATTCCTCATGCACTGACTGAGTGCCCACTGTTCTGGTACCAAGCACTTTTCTGGGTTCTGGGGCCACTGCAGGAACAGATAAAATCCCAGGCTTCAAAGAGGCAACATTCTGGTAGTGGTCACAGGTGACAAATAAATGAGTAAACTATTTCGGATTCAGAAGATGCTTAGTTACTGGGTCAGGAGAGACCTAAGGGGGGGTGGGGTGAGCGAACCCTGGGCTGGAGAAGAGCTAGAAAGGGCACAGGGGAGCTGAATGAGGATGCTTGTGCCCAGGTACACCAGGGAACCCACCTTGGGAAATGCCTAGGGGTAGGGGAGCCAGTATCTAAGGTGAGTGGATTGCTAGGTGAGGCATCCTGGAGCTGAGAGGACACAGGAGGCAGTTGTCACTGATGCTGTGGGACCATCCTTCCCTCAGCGTCACCTGCCAGCCTCTGCTGTGGTCATGATATTTGGGGGCCTTCGGGAGAGCTTGGGCACATGGAGACAGGCCAGGGCAGGTACATGCAAGGCCCAGCCTTCCCATGGTTCCTGAAGGGCCAGTTTTCCCTTCTGGCATGGGTCTTCGGGGACAGCTCAGCTGGGGCGTGTGGCCAGAGCTCTGGTCAGTTCCCCTCCAGGTCACCGTTGACCACCTAATCGTCCTGTTGTGTGAACGGAAGTGAGTGGCTGTACATGTCCTCAAGTGTCCCGTGGACCCAGCCGGCATAGCCAGCAGCCATTGCTCACTGTGATCTCTGAGGCCTGGAAGTGGCATTCGCTGCTGGTGTCCATCCTGTGAGCTGTGCCCTGAGATAGCATCATGGTCTTGGGAGAGAGCCCAGTTCGAATAGGATGCGCTCTCTACGCACCCCGGGAGCTGAGTGAGTTGGTGTTCCATCCGCTGCAGGGCTTGTGCTAACACAGCAGAAACTGTAATATTTTAGACAAGCGGTCGCCAACCTTTCGGACCTCGTGGACCACCAGTGGTCCGCAGACCACCGATTAGCGACCGCTGTTTTAGACCATGTGGCCAGGAACATGCGGCACACACAAGGCATCGTTTATTCAGATATTAAATTCGCTTACTTGGAAAGGTCATTCTGAGCAGGCACAAGGGTTAACACCGCAATGGTCCGGGTTGGGGGGGAGCCATTGTTTAGTGCGATATTGTGAGCGTGCGCCTGGAGGTTTCCGCAACTAGCCAGGCTCGGTGGAATGCACAGCCCGCTCTCCCGAGTTATCTCTGTGGATCTCCATTCATTTCTGGAATGTCAAACAACATCTGCATTTCCTGCTGCTGCAGAGGTGATTGGCAGCCTGTCCCAGGCCTACCCATGCAGGAACGCTGGGGGCTGTGTCCCCCCGCCCCCCACCCCCTGCAGGACACACACTAGGACAGAGGGGTCCCCAGCAGAGCGGTGTTTTCATTTTGGGTTTGTAATGGGCTGTGATGAGCTGTGTCCGGAGCACACAGAATGCTTCCAGGGCCCCGTTTAGCCAGAATCCCAGTTCACTGAATGAGTGGCAGCAGGATCCCTTTTGAGCTTTGTTGTGGGCTCAGCTCTGCAAGGTCACTGACATGAAGAAGGGGTGCAGGTAGAAGCCACAAGGGAGCCCGGCAGGCTCATTAGCAGCTCACCGCTCTGCCGGGGAAGGTGTGACCGCCCAGAGCAGCACAGAGGGAGTGAAGAGAGAACCACAGACCTGCGGAGGGCCTGCTGTCCCACTGCGGAGGCCCAGCAGCAAACAGCGTTTGGGAGTTTCTGAAAGGGAGACACCTCACTAGGAAGGTGGAGGGCGACGCACAGACTCCCTTACAAGACATGCCGAACTCACTGCACACCTCTCCTTCCTCGTCAGGGGCGGCCCGAGCTGACACCCACAGCTATCCTGGCAGGGAGGCTCCTGGCCCAGAGGCTCTGCGGCCAGTCCTCAGACCTGATGGACTATGACAATGTGAGTGCTCACTGCTCTTCACAGGCTAACTTCAGCCTGGAGTGTGAGGGTATGTGTGCATGTCTACATGTGAGGTGCATGTATGTGCACGTCTGTGTATGTGCATGTGGGTGTGTGGTGTGAGTACATACATGCCTGTGTGTATATATGTCTGCATTTTGTGCATGTCTGTGCATATGTGCATGCATATGGGTGTATATGTACACATCTGCATGCATGTGTGTGTGTGTACATCAATGGGTGGGTGCATGTCTGTGTGTGTGTGTGTGGACATCAATGGGTGGGTGCATGTCAGTGCTTGTGTGTGTGTGTGTGTGTGTGTGTGTGTGTGCATATATATGTGAAGTTTAGCTCTGTGGGTAGAGCCCAGGAATAAGTGAGTGAGTCTTCCCACTGCTTGTGGCCTGCCGGCCAGCATGTCTGATAACTTGGCCCGGTGAGAATCTTCAATCTTGGGTCCCTAAGGGTGTGTCTTTCCAGGTCCCCACCACAGTGTTCACCCCGCTGGAATATGGCTGTGTGGGGCTGTCCGAGGAGGCGGCTGTGGCACGCCACGGAAAGGAGCATGTGGAGGTAAGTCAGGGCCCCAAGCAGAAGGGGCTGCCACAACGTGACACCTGTGTGACACCCGTGCCCTCTGGCACCCCCTCCCTGAGAGGCCCAGCTGGTGAGCAGGAGTGCTGGCTTTCCTGCATCCCAGGACTGCATCTTTGCAGGGCAGGAGCAGGCGGGGCCCAGAGCCATGGCTGTGAGGCTGTGAGGTGGCTGGAAGGGACATGTGAATGGGAGTGTTAGAGGGTGGCCTTGGGAGCTTTGGGGTATGGCCACCTCACAGGGGCACATGTCTCCCTAGACCTGGAAAGTCTTCTCCTGCACTCTGACCTCTAACCCTCGTCCCCTATTCTCCTGTCCCAGCCTGGCCTGCCCCCAGGTACCTCAACTTCCTGCGACTCCCCAACTCCCCTGTGGTTCCTGCAGTCTGTGACTCCTCACCCCACCCAGCCCCATGCCAGCTTCTGCCTCTGCTCCTCTTCAAGACCCTCCTAGTTCCCGCAGGCCCCTGACAGCCCAGACTTGGCCTCTCATCCCAGAGGCAGGGCTTTCAGCAGACGAGGCTGCTTCTGGGGTCTGCTCCGACAGGCCAGCTGTGCCTGGGGGTGCACAGCGCGTGCCCAGGCAGCCTGGCAGGATGTGGAGAGACTTTGGATGCTGGAAAGTCATCCTTCAGTGTGGCTTCCTCTTGCTGCAGCAGCCTGCAGGCGGACCGATTAGAAACCAGACCCCATGTGGTCACCACAGCAGGGCTTGGTGCCCTCTGGGAATAAGCCACTGGACTCCACGGCCTGCCCCTTGCCCCAGTGCCCCAGTCCCCTCCATCAACAGGCCAGGCTTGACAGGCCGGCCTTCCCCTCAGCACTTTATTTGCTATTTTTGTTTGATTCATCGCAAGTACACTGGGACATATGTTCATGGCATTTTATAATGTTGTTTTATGTTTCACAATGTTGAATGGCCAAATACCCTTTGTTTGTTTTTTTTACAATTCTGTCTTAGTTAGAACAATATTCTCTGAAGCTCCATTAATTAATAATGGCTGTGCAACACATGTGAGGGCCCTGCTCATTTTTTACTCGGCCGCAGCCCTGAACGCGCTGTCGGTCCCTTCTCGGGTGCTGAAAGCCTTTGTCCGACAGCTCCGGTGTGGGCTGGGGGCCCCCTGCGCCTGCCCCCTCCTCCCTGCTCAGTGAGGGCCCACCAAGCCCCAGGGTGCCTGAGGGAGGCCAGATGGCCACCCGCTAACCGCTCCTGTCTCCCACTGCCTGTCACCCGGTCACTCCGCAGCGTCCGCTCAGACTGCACTCCTGGGCGGTTCCCATGCCCTGTGCTGAGCTTTGGGCTCAGTGACCAGTCACAGTGGGTGGCGCTAACCTGGCGCCTGCTCTGCTGCTGTGGTTCATGGGGATCTCGGCCTGAATGGGCGAGGCCTGCCCTGCAGGGTGGCTCTGGCCATTGACTGCCTGTGCGTGGGCGAGAGGGGTGCTCTTCAAGGCCAGCCAGCCATGTCCTGGCCCCAGACCACAACCAAGTGGGCAATCCCAAGTCCCTGCTGTGTTCACACAGCCTGTCAGAGCTGGGAAATGTCCAGGGGGCTTGGTTGGCTGCAGCCACTGACTCCAGGAATCGGTATCTTGTCGCCAGGTTTATCACGCCTACTATAAGCCTCTCGAGTTCACAGTGGCTGAACGGGACGCGTCCCAGTGTTACATAAAGGTGCGTGTCCTCGGGGGCCCAGTCGGGGCATGCCAGGGGGTGAGAGAGAGGGAAAGAGTGGGCCCCGGGGGTGGGGGAGCCCCCCATGGCCACACATACACTGGGGGGTGGTCCACATGCAGCCCGGGTCCCACCTCCAGCAGATGGCAGCTGGCAATGTGGCTTTCAGATGGTGTGCCTGCAGAAGCCCCCAAAGCCGGTGCTGGGCCTGCACTTCCTGGGCCCCAACGCAGGTGAAGTTACTCAAGGATTTGCTCTGGGGATCAAGTAAGTCCGGAAGAATGCGGCTGTTACTCGATGCTCAGACGGGTGTCCCTCCGACTGTTGGCAGCACTACAGTGAACGTCCGCTGCATTGACGTTGCTTTTATGTAGTGTTGTCTGTGTTTTCAGCAGAACGTCTGCTCAGATGGGGCAGGTTCAGCCAGACAAGAGGCAGCTTTCTTCTCCAGCCAAACCCTGTGAAGCCGGCCACACTGAGTGTGTATGGCCAGTGTGGGGAGCAAGAGGAGAGCATCCTGTCCTTGGCTGGCCCTGGGCGGGGGAGGTCACCCTTTGGGTCTTCTCTAACTCAGAATGCACCCAGGTGGTCATGAGCAAGGTCTCAGCCTCAGGTGTCCTGTGGGCACCAGCCCCCCTGGGCAAGCACTCGTCTGCTGGAGCCCCAGCCATTATCTGGATCTTGGGCACAGGCTGTGCACTGTGGGGCCCCTGCCTGGAGCCTTTGCTGACGGTGGTTCTGGGTATGAGGGGGTTGTCTAGGGCAGTGAGGAGGTTGGGCAGCTGGGTGTGGGCCTGCTAGAGGCCGGGGGGTGGGGGGAGGGGCTGGACTCATGTCATCCGGAAGACATGTGCTTCCGGATCCCCACGGATGCTTGGGGTGTGTGGAGGTTCCAGGAGCAGGGTCGATGCCCAGAAAACCTGATGATGGAGGGCTGCAAAGGCGAGGGTCTAGTCCAGACGTCCCAGGGACACCTCAGCCTCCCCATGGGCAGCATGGGCCCTCAGGTGGGGCACCCGTCATAGGGCAGCGAGCCTCAGGCCCACCATTGCCCTCCTAGCCCTTCCCACACATGTCCAGGTGATCACTGGGTTGTGGCGTCAGGTTCTCCCTGGAGGGGAAGGGGAGCTGGGCCTTGGAGGAGAGGAGGGTGGGCAGGGCTGGGTCCAGGACTGGAGTAACATCCTTGGAACGTGTCTGTGGTCCTTAATCACGGATTCATCTTACATAGAGTGACCTTTGGAAGGAGGCCCATGTGCCTGGTACAAAGCTCTACTGAGCCTTGCCAGAGCCCATTGTGGGGAGGGCAGCCCACCCTGGGTACAAGGAGAACAGCTGAGGGTGTCCCCTGGAACCCAGCCCACTGACCTGTGTGAGTGCTGGCAGGCCGGCCTCCACAGCTCCAGCCCAGCTCTCTGGCCGCTGGAACACGGAGAGCCACGGCTCTCCCACGGAGCCGTCTCCATGCTCCGGCTTGTGGTTGCTTTTGCCAGGACTCACTCGGCTGGAACAATTTCTGGAGACTCTTTAAAATGCGGCAGCCTTTTCAATAATGCTGCAGCTGCAAAGGGCTGATTTCTTTCCTATGCAAAGAACTCTTAGAAATCAACAGTAGTAATTACAGGACGAATCCAATAGACAGAGAACATGAATAGGCAGTTCAGAGGAAAAGAACATAAAAATAAGAGGAGAGCTGATGTGTCTCGATCAGGATTTTAAAATGTAATTGAAACACCAAGAAACCCCAGGTCCTTTCCCAGCGTCTGCACAGCGGAGACGCTGAAGCTTTGAGCAGGTCAGTGGAGCGACGGAGTGACGTTTCCGTCAGTCGGGAGGAAGGCCCTCTGTCCACATGTGAAATGAACACACTAGTCATTCGTGGCGGGACTCTTCCCACCGGCTAGCCATTCCAGCACGCGTGTGCAGACATAAGAAGAGCTGTGCGATGGGCGTGCCCTGTGGGGTGCCCACACACAGCGTGCCAAAGAGCGCGCAGTGCGTGGGGAGCATGCAGGCGGCACTTGCGTGTTAAGTGCCGGGTGCCGAGCGGAAGAGCGGGCCGGGGGGGGGGGGGGGGCTGGGCAGGTCCAGGCTGCCGTAGTAAAAAGTGGGCTCAGGCAGACTGAGGAAGTGGGCCCACAGCAGGACCGGCTGGAGCCACAGCCCAAGTAGAGCTGTGTCTGGTGGGCTGGGAGCGGCAGGGGGCCAGGCTGGAGCAAGTGAGGGAGGCTCAGGTGGGAGGCGGGCTTGAGGCAGGGCCGCTTGGCCACTGCAGGCATCTTCTTGGAGGGAGATGGGATGGGTCCAGCAGGTGTTGGCAGGTGTTTCTGGCTGCTGGCTGGAGGAGAGAGGGTGGGGGCCAGGGTTGGGAGGGGGTGAGAAGACCAAGACTTCTGAGGTGCCCTCCTGTGTGCCGCCTTCCCGGGGACAGGGTAACATGAACACGTCTCCCTGCCCGGCCTCACTGCCCCTCCCCCTGCGTGTAGATGTGGTGCCTCCTACGCGCAGGTGATGCGGACCGTGGGCATCCACCCTACCTGTGCCGAGGAGGTGACCAAACTGCGGATCTCCAAGCGCTCAGGCTTGGACCCCACCGTGACTGGCTGCTGAGGTTAAGCCGCCATCCCTGCCAAGCCCAGGGCACACGACACACCTGCTGCCCCACAGCCAGGCCCTTCGGGGCTTTGGATCCAGGTACGTGTGGGGTGGGCTCCAAGTAAGGGTAGAGCCGTGACGGAAGGGGGAAGGGTGCGTGGCAGGCTGTACCTGCTGGGTCACCTCACAGGCCATAGTAGCCAAAGAAACAAGGATGGGAAAGGAGGCCACTGAGGGTCCCACCTCCCCAGGGTGCCCCAGACCCTGGCCTGGCTGCCGCTGCTCCCTCAGGCAGGAAGTGCCCTGAGGCTGGGCTCGCACCCATCTCAGGTGGCCGGTGCCATGTGGGACACTGGGTGTGGAAAGTGCCCCCAGGCTGAGCTCAGTGGGCTGCTGGGTAGGAGGAGCGGGCCTCCTTCTCCAGTCCTGCTCCGTGCAGAGCAGCACCCGCTCATTTCTCTCTCGCCCAGAAGGTGGAGATGCTGCCTTGCGCACAGCTGCTGCCACACAGCTGCTTCTGCTAGAGCTTCGCAAAGCCAGGCGGGGCCGGCAGCGGCCGGAAGCCTCTGGCTGCCGTTGCTGCCTCCAACCCTCTTCTGAGGAGGAAGACATTAGCGAGACCCTCCCTGACCCCTGCCTAAGGGCTGCCTGTGGTCAGAGCCTTTCATCTCTCAGTCCCAGCATCCTCCAGCCTCAGCCTGAAGGGCCGTGCAGTGGCCGAGGGTCCCATGGGCAGTGGCTCAGGGCCTCTCCAGGGGCACCTGCTCCACCAGGGTGCCCCGGTCAGGGCTGCCTTCGATCCAGACAAACACAGGGAACCTGAGGAAACTCTTACCTGAGTGTCACACCTGAAAGATGATAAAAATTTTATCATCGAAGAGTATTTTTCACAGAACAGGGCTCCCTGTGACTCATCCCAGGGTAGATGTGCCCTGAGAGGGTCCCTGCGTGTGGGCACGAGAGTGGTGGCCACGGGTATGCGGGGATGGTGTGGCCATCTCATGCTGACCCCCATCTTTGGCAGGACACTGAAGGCCCAGCCCAGGCGACCCTCCGCCCTGCCTGGAGAGCCCTGGAGGTGTCTGGCGTGGGCGGCGTGTCTGGATGGACTGCCCGTGTGCCCTGCAGGGATGGCTCCCGTGGGACGTCAGCCCCCACACCTGCCCTGTTGCCCCTCCTGCTCGGGCCGGCCCTGCCAGGCCCCCGATGCCAGATGATGACGACCTGCGCAGAAACCCACCCTGTGGGCTGCCCACGTCTGAGCCCCCCTGGTATTTCCGGAGTGCAAATAAAGAGGGTGTTTTCCTGAAGTGTGCCCTGCCTGTGGTGCCCCCGATGTGCCCCCACCAGCCTGTCACCCCCTCCCCCCCATCACCTCCCTTCATCATTTGGGAACTGCTTCCAGATTGTTCTGCGACAGGAGCTGGGTAGCATCAGTGCCTCGGATGACCCCGACCCTTCCTCCCAGCATAGATCTAGGGGAACCCCTCCCGGGACCCTCTGTGCTCACAGGTACTCTGAGCTCCCGGTAGGTGAGCATCCTGCCAGCAGTGTGACCCAGCGACAGGAGTGGGCAGGGGTTGGAGGCTTTCTGTCCCCTGAATGTCAGGCACCTCATTCGTTTTCATGGTGGCCTCCAAGTCAGCTTGTGTGCTGTGCTCCAGCTAATCCTGCACATTGAGGCTTGATGGTGCCTGTCAGTCACCGCAGAGAGATAGGCCGACAGCGCCGGGCAGGGCCTGGCATTGTGCTGGGGCTTTAGTGGCGGTTAATCTCATGTCTTTCTTAAGAAAACATCACTTAGTCTGCCGGCCCGGGAGCCTTGGATGGGACCCTGCTTGTCAGCAAACAAAGGAATGTCTTTGCACCTAATGGGCCTACGGGAGCCTCGGCTCTCTGTGCAGCGTGTGCAGGAGCTCTCAGACGCCCAATTAAGATGCCAAGTGCTGGGCTGGGCCGGGCCCTCCCGACAAGTGCAGCGCGAGATCAGCCGTGTCCCATTTAACGCACGGCTGGCGGCGCGCCCCGTGCTGGATCCTGCGAGGGCCGCCTCTCCACGGGGAGGAGGTGTGCCTCTGTCGTGGAGGCAACGGCGAAGTCTGCAGAGGTCAGCTAACACGGCGGCCAGGGCAGCAGGAGGGGCCCTTGTAGGCAGGGGCCTCAGATTCCTTGAGCCGGATCGGTCTCTGCCTCGGGGCAAATGAGGAACCTGAAATGGCCTTGTTGCTTTTTGTGATGATGGACATGATGCTGCCTGAGTGGGAGCCCTCGTGCACACGGGGCACCTCTCTGGGGTGAGGGTCAGGATGGCCCATCACTGGCTGCCAGGGTGCTCCCACGTGCCCAGCCCCCGGTGTTTTCTCTACACACCCCTTTCTGCAGTACCAACCTTGCTCCGGTGCACCTGCCATGTCTGTAATGCCCACTCCGTGCTGTGTCTGGCCTGTGCCATCACCTAGAGTGGTCGGCAAACTCATCAGTCAACAGAGCCAAATATCAACAGTACAACGATTGAAATTTCTTTTGAGAGCCAAATTTTTTAAACTATATCGGTAGGTACATTGTTACTAACTTAATTAGGGTACTCCTAAGGCTTAGGAAGAGCCACACTCAAGGGGCCAAAGAGCCGCATGTGGCTCGCGAGCTGCAGTTTGCCGACCACGGACCTAGGATTGAGCAATGCACCCATGGTGCTGGGCATCACCAGCCTCACTGTCCAGTCCTGTGGGGCTCGGGACAGCTCGTGGGGGTGCTGCCCATGTGGCCCTGAAGCTCCATAGGCCCGCTGGCTCCCCTGCATGGGGGTCACGTCTTTTTGGTAAATGGTGGGCAGAGGCCTGGCCCAGCTGAAAGCCTGCCACAAAGGGCCTGGCCTCGGCCATCACCAGAGCCACCTTTGAGCCATGTGCTGTGTCAGTATGCAGTTGCTGCCATGGTGCCCAGGAACCTGGACTCCCACATGTACACACTGCTCTGTGGGGCGTGGGGACCAGATTCTGGGGTCCCAGCTGGGCAGGGTGTTCTGACAGCTGCTTCCCTGAGCCAGGGCTCACTGCATGTGGGTCTCAATAAGAGCACTGAGCAGTGTCATCTGTCTTGCATGCCACTTGGCTCCAGGCTCACATCATGGCCTGAGGCCCCTCTCTAGGCCTGCCCCTACCCTGTCCCCTCCTCCTAGGGATGAAGGAGGGGCCAGAGCGCCACAGGCCAGGTGCTCTCCACCTGGCCTGAGGGCCGCCTTCCCGCCGCCTTTGCATGTTTTTATGGTGCAATGAAAATATGATTTTAATTCTTCAGATTGTTTGGTGTAACCTACAATTACCCTGGGTGATTCCTGCACACTTCTGCTTGTGGCTCAGATTGCACAACCACACGGGAGGGAGAGGGGCTGCGCTCAGGGGCCAAGCCACCCCCTCCCGGCCTCACCCTTAGCTCGGAAGCTGGGTAAGGCACCTCCAGCGGCCCTGAGGTGCTGTCTTCTACTCCTATGGCCCCTCGGGAGGCAGGTATACAGAAGAGGGTGACCAGCAGTTTTTGAGGGCTGGATGGAAACTGAAATAGGCAAGGAAAGGGAGGGGTGGGCCTTGCCGGAGGAGGGCACTGACTGCAGGGGTGCAGAAGGGGACATCAGCTCGGGAGGTGGCCATGATGCTTGGCTGCGGTACCCTCCAAACCACAGGCTCCTGGTGTCTTCCCAGCATCTCACAGCCCGGCCAAGACCCCCAGCTTTTCTTGGCAGTAGTGGGGAACACCCGCCCCCATGCGTGCTTCAGCCATGCTTTAACATGGCGGGGAGGTGGGGTGCGGGGAGGCCTGGCTGAGGGTGTGCCCACCTTGCTGAGCCAAGGGCCCTTGCAGGTAGAGTTGCCCCATGAGAAACAGGTCCGCATCAGGTGGTGCCTGTGGTTCAGGATGTCTGTGCCTGCAGCTTCAGGTTCGAGCTAGCCCACGAGGACCCTGGGGTGGCTTGTCCCATAGCGTCTCAGCTACACACCTCATGTCACCTAGCCCAGGCAGCAGCTTGGAGCCCCAGCCTCCTCTACAGCCTGACGCAGGCCTGAGCCCCTCGCCTACCACTCTCCACTGGGTGCAGAGCTGCTGCAGTGAGAGTGACCCAGGTCCCTACAAGAGGCTGACCCTGAGTCGGTCAGACAGGGTCTGTGCCATCTTGAGAGACCCATGGCTTCCAGGCCACATCACTGAGCCCCCTGGACTCTGTTCAGGCTCCAGATGCTCGGGCCACCCTGGTGAGGGGGCGCCTTGCATGGCCTCAGTGCCCTGTACTCACATCACTCACTGGAAGCGCACACATTGGCGTCTGCCTCTTAAAGTACATCAGGGTCCAGGCCAGGGCACTCGGGTGGCCACCAGGAGCCACTCCTGCCTCCCCGAGTTATTCACAACTGACTGGGAGCCATTTCCCCTCCATTCCCATCCCAGGGGTCCCCACTAGGCAGGCAGGGCTGAGTGACTTTAGGAGTGATGCCCCAGGGAAGGGACAGGGTGGACGAGGGTTAGGGCCTATCTTACAGATGCTGCTTCCTGTTCCACATGCAGTTGATCACGGGATGGCAGGGCCCAACCTTCAGACCTGGAAGTAACGTCTGTGGGAGGACAGTCCAGGGCACTTCCCAGCAGAACTGCTCTGAGCAGGCCTGACCTGCTGCCTGCTCTGCCCTGTGCCCACTCCTCCCCCATCTGCCACCCCAGCTTCCAGTAGTCTCTTGGATTTCTTGTACTGCCACTGTGGACCCCAGGAGCCCTGCACATGCTGGTCCTTGGCCAAGCACCTGTGCCTGCAAGGCCAGCAAAGAGGCCACTGCGTGGGCCCCATGGGGCCCAGCAAAGCATCTTAGAGCTGAGCTCACCTAATCCCAGCCCCAACATGCTATGGTGCTCGGGTTTCCCTAATCCCGAAACCCAAACCAGGGCCTGCAGCCTTCCCAGGGCCGTCTGAGTGGGCAGCAAGAAGACCCCCTCCCATGTGCCTGTTCTGTTTAGAGCTGACTCCCACCAGGACAGGACAGGGAGTTGGGCACCCACAGGGTGGAGATCCAACCTGATGAGCCCCGGTGAGCTCAGGAAACAGCTGAGCCCTCGGCTCCCAGCTGGTCCAGGCAGGAAATTCAAGGCCGGTGGCGACAGCAGAAATGCCGGGCAAGGCAGGCCCACCTCAAGCCTGCGAGGTCCTGGCCTCTAGGGTTTCATGGGACAGTGATCTGGCCATGAAATTAAGTTTTTTTCCCCTAATAAAACTGGGATCTTTTTGGCTTATAACCGATGATCAAATAACACCCAGTGCTTGGGAATAAAGTGGAACCATAACCAAGAGACCATGTGACCTTGTTACGTACCAGCTGGGGGTCAGGAGCCAGCTGGGCCCAGCTCCCTGTTCTGACCACTGACCACTGACCCAGCCAAGGCTCCCAGGGGACTGGGCACAAGGCACATGTATGTGAACACGCCAGCATGGGGCACTCACAGGCTCCCTTTTTATAGTCCCATTAGAGAGACACGCAGGCATGTTATGTGAGAACAGTTAATGGCACCTAGTGGTCTTAAGCATCTTTGAAGAATTTTCATACCCACAATTTCCCCAGAGCAGATGCAATTAGCTCCTGAACTACCAGGGTCGAGATAGGAGACAGAATGTGAGATCAAAGCAACATATGAATGTGGTGTGTGTGTTTTGTTTTGGGTTTTTTGGGGGGTTGGGGGACTCCCACTTGATGAGTGAGAAACCGATGCCCAGACTCCCCAGAAGTCCCCATGGGGCACAGTGTGCAGCCACGCCGCCTCCTTGCCCACCAAGGCCTCAGTGCCTGGCCTCTGCCTGTGGGAGAGGGTGATGGGAGACAAGACCTCCAAAGGGCTTTAGTGACTCCTTGTTCAGCCCATGGTGGCTGGAATTGGGCGGGTGATTATAATAATAAAGTCCTAACAATGAGCAGAGGTTGGGTTTCCATGGCTGGGGGACTGTTTGATTTTCAAAGTCTTTGGGAGAAGGTGTCTAAATGGAGTATGTGGTGCACATCAGCCCACTCCTTGCAAGTCAAGAGTCCCATCCAGTACCTTACATCTCTCAAAAGGTGTGTTACCCGTCAGCTCCCTGGTAGGCAGAAGTCAGCTAACACGGCTGCCAGGGCAGCAGGAGGGGCCCTTCTAGGCAAGGCCCCTTGAGCCGGATCGGTCTCTGCCTCGGGGCAAATGAGGAACCTGAAATGGCCTTGTTGCTTTTTGTGATGATGGACATGATGCTGCCTGAGTGGGAGCCCTCGTGCACACGGGGCACCTCTCTGGGGTGAGGGTCAGGATTGCCCATCACTGAGCACATCAGGCGGGAGGCTGCACCAGGAGGCCCAGGCACAGCGTGAATGAGTATTGCCTTCGCCAGCTCAGACAAGCTCTGACCCCCACCCACCCACCAAGGGCTGCTGTGAGGACCTGCTGCCTGAAGAACTTCCTCTAGCAGTTCTTACAGTGAGAGTCCTTCGATGAGGAATCACCACAGCTGTCATTTATCTGAAAATGTCTTCATTTCTCCCTCATTTAAAAACATTTTTACTGTACATAGATTTCTTAGTTGGCTTTTCTTTTAAAAAAAATTTGTAGTGATTTCAGAGAGGGAAGGAGAGGGAGAGAGAGAGAAACATCAGTGATGAGAGAGAATCATTGATTGAAACCATTGATTGGATGCCCCGCGCTGGGGATGGAGCCTGCAACCCCAGCATGTGCCCTGACCGGGAATCACTGTGACCTCCTGGCTCATAGTTGATGCTCAACCACTGAGCAATGCTGGCTAGGCACTTTTCTTTTCTGCACCTAAATTTTGTTTCATTGCTTCTTATCTGTTTTTTTTTTCTAATGTGAAGTCAGACATATGCAGTGTGTCCTTATTTCTCTGACTGCTTTCAAGGTTTTCTCTTTACCTTTGGTTTTCAAGAGTTTGACTGTGACCTGCCTATGTGTGTTCTCTTCATGCTTAATACTGCTTGGGATTTGCTGAGATTCTTGGATCTGTAAGTTGATCCCAAATTCAAGAACTTTTAGGTCATTATTCAAATATTTTTTATTCTGCCCCATTCTCTCTCTTTTCTTCGCAGGCACCATTATATTAGACTTTCTAATATCGTTTCTCAGGTTCACGTCACCTGTAGCTTTACTCTCATATTCTTTTGATTGGATAATTCTTTTTAAATGCGTCTTCGAGTTAATAGACTCTTTCTTCTGCCATCTCCAATTTGCTCTTAAGATCAGTTAAAGTCCACCCAAGTTACCTTTACATTTGTTGTTGTATTTTTTGGCTCTAGAATTTTCATTTGGTTGTCTTTTACAGTTTCCATTTCTCTGCTTAAATTCCCTCTGTTTATTCATTATGACCACTTTTTCCTTTGAGTACTTAAACATATTTATAGCTGTTACAGAGCCTACAAGCATTAAAAAGATAATACAGTGTGGCCTTGACTTAGGAGTTTAATTCGTTCCGTGACGGAGCTCATAACTCAAATTACTCGTATATCAAATCACTGTGACGTTTGCTACGCCAACTAGCGGTGGGGGTATCTGAAGCTGGCTAGTAACCCGAATTTTTTGAGCTTGCAACTCAAAGCAAAAAATCGGCTGAGAGACAGCTCGTATCTCAAAAAATCTCGTAGTCGGGACACTCATAAGTCAAGGCCCCACTGTAAAGCAATATTATGAACAAATTTAATTCAATACATTTGGCAGATTCCTTTACTTTTACAAGAAGAAGTAGAAAATATGAACAGCTTTACATCTCTTAAAGGAATTAAGTTCTTTATTAAAAGTATCCCATAAAGAAGACTCCAAGCCTAGTTGTTTTCACTGATGAATTTTAGCAAACACTTAAGGAATAAATAATGTCATCCCTACACCAGTTATATCAGACAGTAGAGGAAAAAAACACTTCCAAATCAGTTTATCAGGCCAGTATTACCTTGATATCAAAACAAGACAAAGATATTACAGGAAAAGAAAATAACAAACCAATATCCCTTAAGTAGGTAGACCAAGGTCCTTAACAAAATGTGAGTGCTCGAACCTAGCCATACATGCAAAGAATTCATTATGGCCAAGTGGGGTTTATCCCAGGAATGCAAGTGATTTTACGTTCAACATTCAATCCTTGTAATTTGTCACATTAACAGAATGAACAAAAATATTGTGATCATGGCAGAGATGGAGTAAAAGCATTTGACCAAATTCAACACCCATTTATAAAAAAACAAAACTGTGCAAACTAGGACTCAAAGGAAACTCCCTTAACCGAATAAAAGGCATCTATGAAAACCATTGACAGCTAACACCAAACTTCATAGTGAAAGATCAAACACTCCCCTTCTAACATTTGGAATAGGTCAAGGATGCCTACTCCTACCACTTTTCTGAAAGTTTTGGCCACTGCAACAGGCCAAAAAAAAGAGACATACTAGTTATGTGTGTGTGTGTATATATATTTATAATAATAAAAGCATGCTAATTAGACCAGACGTCCTTCTGGACAAAGCTAGGGCTGTGAGGGAAGCCCAGGTCCCAGGTGCCAGAAGGAAGCCGGTGTTGGCAGCCGAGGGAAGGAAGGCCTACTCTTGCACGAATTTTGTGCATTGGGCCTCTAGTATATACATATATATGTATGTATACATATTCTATATAGATATACAAATGTTATATATATAAAAGGAAGGACAATTGTCTTTATTTGTAGATGGTTGTATATATAGAAAAGCTTAAGGAATCTATAAAACAACTACTAGAAATATTAAGTGAACTTAGCAAGAGCATAAGATAAAATGTCAATTCTATTTTTATATACAAGCAAAGAACAACTGGAAAGTAAACATATTTTAAATACTATTTACAATAGTATCTAAACCAGCCGTGGGCAAACTACGGCCCGCGGGCCGGATCCAGCCCGTTTGAAATGAATAAAACTAAAAAAAAAAAAAAAAAAAAAGACCATACCCTTTTATGTAATGATGTTTACTTCGAATTTATATTAGTTCACACAAACACTCCATCCATGCTTTTGTTCCGGCCCTCCGGTCCAGTTTAAGAACCCATTGTGGCCCTCGAGTCAAAAAGTTTGCCCACCCCTGGTCTAAACCCTTAAAATGTTTAGAGATAAATTTAACAAAGTTAATTTTTAAAAATCTTAATAAAAAAAGCAGAAGAGAACAAATGATTGTGAGGGTTTGGAGAAATTAGAAACTGCATTGCTGGTGGGGTGCAGCTGCTATGGAAAGTTTGGTAGTTCCTCAAAAAGTTAAATGTAGGGTTACCCTATGATTCAGCAGTTCCACTTCTGCGTATATACCTAAGAAAAGTGAAAGCAGGTACTCAGATATTTGTACATCCATGTTCATAACATCATTAGTCACAGTAGCCAAAAGATGGAAGCAAGTCCTCGATGGAACCAAGTGTCCATTAACAGATAAGTGGATAAACAAAATGTATCTATATATATAAAAGCCCAAGCGACCAATTGACTGGTCAGCCGGTCACTATGACACGCACTGAGCACAGGGGGCAGACACTCAATGCAAGAGCTGCCCCCTGGTAGTCAGCACGCTCCCATAGCCAACCTCCTATGGCTGGCCAACCTCCCATGGTCCCTCCCTCAGCTGGCCGTCCACCCCCCCCCCCCCGTCCCCATCAGCCCCGATCTGAAGCCTGGCTGAGGGACCTCACCTGTGCATGAATTTGTGCACCGAGCCTCTAGTGTACACATAATGGAATATTATTCAGCCTTAAAAAGACACAAAATTCTGATAGATGCTACAACATGGATGAACCTTTAAAACTATTCTAGCCCTGGCCAGAGTGGTTCAGTTGGTTGAAGCATCGTCCCATACACTGAAAGATCGTGGGTTCAATTCCCCATCAGAGCACATACCTAGGTTGCAGGTTCAATCCCTGGTTGGGGAGTGTACCAGTATGTGAGGCAACCAATCTCTCTCGCAAGTCAATAAACAAATTCTCTCGGGTGAGGATTAAAAGCAACACTATTCTAAGTGAAATAATAATGTGTGATTCCACATATTCAAGGTACCTAGAATAGGCAAGTTAATATAGACAAGTAGAATAGCGGTTACTAGGGGCTGTGGAAAGAGGTGATGTTATGTTGAGTTATGTGTTTAATGGGGGCAGATTTTCTGTTTGGGGTGTTGAAGTTCTAGAGCTGGATAGTGGTGAAGGGCTGCACAACAATGTGAATGTAATTCGTGCCACTGAGCCTACAAATGGTTACAATGTTAAATACCATGTGTTATATATTTTGCCACAATTAAAAAATATATATATTTAGATGGCGTAAGTGAAGAAAAACGCAATTTGGACCTAAACAGTTGTTTTCTGATGGCCTGGCCCGGCTGAATTAGTCTTTTACACAAGCCTGCGGATGGGCCGAGTTGGCCTTAGCTGCCTGGTGTCAGAGGTAAGCCACATTGTCGGAACCTCCCCCTCTCCTTGGAGGCAGGAAGTTTAAATTATCAGGTCAATTAGGAAAGATACAACCGAAAAATACAAGTTTCATTCACGCTTCAAGGAGGCGTTTCCTGGCCGGGTGCCACTTTTATTATTTTTGGCGGAGGCTGCTGAAAGCCCCACAGACCGGGTGAAGGTACAATGTGATCTTTGATTTGCGTTTCAAAGATCAAAGAGAGTGAGTTTGGGTGTCGATGCAGATAACGTTTCAGAGATCCTTTCATGAAAGGAGTCACTAGACCAGGGCAGAAAGGGAGCTGATGTGTTGCGTGTGTTCGCCTTGAGAAAAATCATTTTCCAGTGCATTCGGCGGCCCGTGGCCCCAGGAACCCCTGGCCTGCATCCAGGTCCTTGGCCCACGGGACCTTAGGTCCTTGCGCTGGGGGCGGGCACCTTCTCCCACCTCTGGTCTAGGCACCCTGGGGGGGGGGGGCGAGGCATGGGCTGCGCCCGCGAGGAGCCCCCAAGCCCGTCCTCCACCGGCTTTTCCCATGTCCCTGGGTGCTGACGGGCACGCCACTCCGGGGCTGCCTTGGCAGCCTGCCCTCATTGTCCTCTGTGGGGCCGGCCTCGGCTGGGGAAGAGCAGCATAAACCCACTAACCACGAGAAACCCACAGGCCCCGCCTGCCAGCCCGCAGGTGGAGGGTCCTTGGGGCCGAGCTGCCCGCCCTCTCGCTCTGCGGCCGGAGGTTTGCAGGACCAGGCCCTTTAAACTCGGGGCACTGGATGGCGAGAGGGGCTTTGCAGAGGAGCGCTGCGGCCCCTCTTCGCCCAAATCCGCCCAGATGCCCGCAGCCCCCAGCTGACTCGAGGCGGTAAACCCGGGCTCCGGCGGCACCTACAACGGCGTCTCTGCGGGAGCCAGGGGGGCGCCGCGGCCCCACCCGCTGGCTACTCCGTCCTCATCGCCGGTGTTCCCCGCCCGCCTGGGCGGCACCACCCGCGTAGCCCCGCCCACTCCGGCCACTCCGCGCCTGCGCACGCGGCCCCGTGTGCTCTCGTGGCACTTGGCGCGGCGCAGGGCTGAGCGCGATCCCATCAGCCCTCGCGCCGCGCTGCCGCGCTGCTGCGCTGGCGGGTCCTGGGAGCGTCCGCGCGGCCGCGACCCCAGGGCGCACGGCGCAGGCGCGGCCCGGTGGGGCGGCCGGCGTAGGGTGGGCCGAGCGCCGGTGCGGCGACGTACGGGAGGCCGTGCGCACGCAGGGGGTGTGGCTGCACCGCGCGGTGGGGCCCTGAGGCGCTCACTGCTCCGAGTTGGAGTCGCTATCTTCGGCTCTAGGGTCAGTGGGGCGGCGAGAACCCTGGCGCCCGGCAGTGGGATTGCGCCCTCCGTCCCTCCCCCAGTCCCCGTCCTCGGAGACGCGCTCGGAGTCCCCGCACTGGGTGCCGGCGAGCCTCAGTTTGTCAATCCGCGCCGGGGCCGAGGGGGCGTCTGCAATGGTTTTCGGGTGGTTCCCGCCGTCTGCGTCCCTAGAGGTAGTCCCGCGCCTCGCCTCACGGCGGCCGATCTTGTTCTCCACTTTCTAGGTGACACTGGGACTCTCGCCCTCGGAGGGAGACGCGTTCGCAAGGTCCCTGGCTGCAGATTCGTGGACCCTTTCCGTGGGCGCCTGGCGTAGCCGTAGGTGGGTCGGATTCCTATTGTGGGGGAGCTTGTGAGCTCAGGTCCCCGCGCTTTCCGGCATGGCGGTTGCAGGAGGGGTGGGGCAGTGGTCTGCCCTAAAGCAGAGGCACTTGCTATGGGGCTTTGGGCATGTTATTCTACTCTTGGGGGCCCGGGGTCTCCCGGGGGTAGAGAACGTTCCAGCGTCCCAGGTGCTGGCTCTGACTTTGTGGGAGGCGAGTGCACGTGAGCCGCGGCACCTGCTCCTGGACAGATCGCTGTCTGGCCCAGGAGAAGGGCCCAGATGCCTCAGTGCCAGGCACGGTGAGGACAGAAACGAGAGAGACCAACCGATTGGTAGGTGTGGGAGAGCCAGGGTTCCTGCACCAGTCAGGCCCAGGCGTAGGAAGGCTCAGGCCCATGCAGGGCTGGCTGCTTGGCGCAGAGGTGCTTTCCTCCTGAGGTTGCAGAGGGCACACAGGAATAATGATGAGTTGGGAGGGGTGACAGCTAGGGCTCCAAGTGGGGATGGGAGGTCCGAACTGGGAGAAAGAGAGCGCATTGGCTCCTGGGCATGGGATGTGGTCTCCGTGGGCTACCTGGCACCTGACCTCAGGTGGGTGATAGGAGCTGCGATGTGGTTATTGCGTTTCAGAGCTCGGTGAGGGCCCGGACTCGATGAGTGTGCTGCTCCTTGGGCCACTGCAGACCCTCGAATATTCTTTCCTTGTTTTAGGATGGGAAGGACTTTTAGGTGGAAGACCACCACCAGGGGGTAGGGAATATACCTAAGAGGTTCTGTAATGCTTGGCTGGCAGAGGTAGGTGCTGGTCGCCCTGGCAGCTTCGAGGGCTGCAGGCCACCCTGGAGGTTCTGGGCAGAAAGACCAATAGAGCTGTGCCTTCCTGGAGGAACTCGCTCTGACGGGGGCCAGGTAAACACACAGGAAACTGCACACGAAGGGGTGTGCAGGCCGCGGTGCCCTGGGTGCGGAGCACTGGGTTGTGAGTGGAGGGGTTGTTGGGAAAACCGCACAAGGAGGGGTGAAGCAGAGAGTGCTGCAGAGGCCATGAGCGGACCTCCCTTTGCAGAGACTGGGGAGGTGACTATCTTAGGCGAGGCAGTGTGAGAGCCTGCGGGAGGGCTCCTTGCCCTGGAAAAGAACTGTGCTTGCGGATGGTTACAGCCTCCTTCCCCTGAATACTCAGGGTCGATGCTCACTGCTCTCCAGGCCCTTCGCAGGAGTCACTTTAGGGAGGTGAGAGAAGGTGCAGCAAGTGGGATTCAACTTGAACATCAGATGCTGGGTTTTCTACAGGGAAAGGAGTGCAGGGAGGTGGCCTTCAGGGTCAGGGTGGCATTGCCCGTCGGCTGTACTCTGAGTGGTGAAGTGAGTCTGGAAAGCCTAGGGCCTAGAGACAGAATAGCAAGGCCCGCGGCTTCTGTCACACACGCAGGTACCATGCTCCTGATGCTGTGACGTAAGACCACCGTATGGCCGTCTGTGCCACAAGTTAGTGTCAGTGCTTGGGGCAGCCAGAAGACTCCTAAGCAGATTGTAAAGTGTAGTTCGTAATTGGTGTGGTGAAGTTGATGTTAAGTGTTCAGCTGCCTCTGCCACTTACTGCTTGGTGTGTGGTTGCAGACAAGTGACTTCACTCACTACTCTGCCTCGGGGACCGTAATAGCACCAAGCTTACGAGAGGGTCAGGGTGTGGGGTGGTGGATGGAGCACTTAGTAAAAGGTTGCTACTGTCATTCTCCGGAAATTCCCTGATAGCCAGACTGTACAAGGAAGCCCAGGGGGTTCTGATCTGGCCCCTTTTCCTTCTGGTACTGACAGCATCTGCCATCACATCTTGCCCTTGAAATGTCACAGGTGGCCTTGGCCAGCCTTCTTGGACATCCCAGGCCCTCCTTCCATTCCAAACTCCTGGTGAGTTGCCTAGGGTTGGCCTGCTTGTTGCCTCCTCCTGCAGCCCCTTGGTGATGGTTGGGCCTAGTTTTTGCTCTTCCCCGCCTTGTTTTTGGACAGAATGCCTTGGATGGTGACCTGTGTTTGACAGTCCTATGAGCTCTTCTCAGCTTCCCTGACCCTCAGCACTTGCCCAGAACACCTGGGTTTACCACACCCTTCTCTAGCCCATCTCTGTCCTGTTGTATCCTGTGTGTCTCTTCTGACCACAACCCCCCCCCCCCCTTCCTGTGCCATCTCTTCCTCTCCTTTCCCCTTCTTTCTAGTAGTTGGTGCAGCAGCCTCCCTCCACTCACAGCATTCCTTGTGGCTGGCGCTGGTGGCAGGGTCCTTGCAGTCACATCTGAGCTACAGCCAATTATCCAACGTATACCCCTTGGCAAGAGATTGACTGGGCCTCTCCTGGGGGCTGCGTATGCTCCCCTAGTGGATCCCTGGATTGAGCAGCCCTGCTGTGGGCACCCTGTGTGTGTGTGCACGGCCATGGAGCAGAAGAGCACAGTGAGTTGTGAAGCCACAGAAAAGGGTTCCCTCATTGTGCACATGCCCAACCCACAGCCCCTCAGGGTGGACTTCCATTGGGTGCCAGGCTCAGACCCAGGCACCTTTGATGGCTCCCCATGGCTCCTGCACCGCTTTTTGGCTCAGCTGGGCGATTGCATGTCTTTCCACTTTGAGCACTGCCAGGACAACCTCAGCCGAGTCTGCGAGGTCCTCGGGGCGCCTGACAGACCCAGCTTGGGCGTGGGCAGCCCCTACCTTGACGGGTATCCCTGCCTGATGATGATGAGCTCTTTTGCCAGGATCCTGAAGAGATTATTCAAAACCTGAACAGCTTTGCTGAGGACCATGCTGCAGTGCCCTGCCCCTTGTCCCCACCTCAAACCAGCCACCAGTGGCCCCACAGCTGCCTGTGGTGAGGCCGTACTTAGCTAGGTTCTCGGAGGCCCTGGCACTCAACATGGGTGCTACCCTCAGGCCTGTCCCAAACAGTCTAGTTCTGCTACTTCTAGTTCTGCCTCTGAATTAAAAATGCTCTGCCTGAGCAGCAGCTGCCCCAGGAGAGCAGCCCTGGGCCCACTGAGCCGCCTGCCTTGCCCACTTCTGCGTGCAGCACCAGTCCTGGTCTGGTGGGGCCAACAGAGATGGCCCCCAAACCTGTCCTTGTGTTTACAGAATCTGCCTAAGCCCCCTGCCCAGCAACCAGATCCAGCTCACCCAGGGGGGCCGGAACCCCAGAAGACAGGGGATGTAGGTGGCCCACAAGGGGCGGTGGAGACCCCAGCAAGAGCCACCTTTTTCTCCTGCTCTCCATCCTGCAGCCCTGGATTCAGAGCAGGTCCCAGGCAGGTGCAGCAGTGCTCCTTGTGATGAAGTGGCCTATGTAGCCAGGAATCCCGCAGCCCCCCCCGCCTCTTTCCCCCAGGACCAAGTGGCATTGCCAGATGACTCTAGATGTAGTGCTGCCAGGTGTGGCGCTGTCCACTTGCCCCATTGCTGGGCAGGAGGGGTACTTGTTTGGACTCTGCCTTCATCCTCCCCATCCCCCACCACAGCAGACCGCTGGCCTCTGCCCTTGCTCCTCATTCTCTGACTTCCCTGATGGCACAGAGGCTGCTTCCTGCATCCCCATACCTGCCCTTGGCGTGCCATCTCACCTGGGTTTGTTCTCACTAGTTGGACAGAGCTCTATAGATCAGTCCTCATCATATGTTTGCACTGTCTTTGTAACCCGCCCCCCCCCCCCCCCCCCACAGAACCCCTTCATTGCTGGCCGCAACTGGGTTTGCCATGCCAGCCTTTTCGGGATTTGGCCCCTGTATGGTCTTTGCTTTGCCCCCCCACCCCATCTCTGTTTCCCGTGACCTGTCCTCTGGGCTGGAATTTAAGGAGGAGGCGGCCACTTTCATTGTTGAGTGTGAGTCAGATGGTGTCTTGGTAGAGAAAGATGCTTTTCTGTGTGTTTAGCAGCAGCCTCCCTGCTCAGCTGGGAAGGCTCCAATACAGGAAGGTAGAATGCAAGCTGCCTTTCAGTCTCAACTCTGTTCCAGGCATTTCCTTCTGTGTTAACGTTCTAGTCACCTGTTTTCTTCCATCTTCCTATCTCAGTGCCTTTGCCCTGATGCCCTTCCACTTTCTGCTCTTCCGCAGTCATTGCCTTTTGCCCGCTCTTGCACATGGCCGATGCAGCACCGAGCCCAGCACTGGTGACGTGTGTCTGCGCAGACTGAGCCTCTAGGCAGGAGCTCCATCTTAGCTCGTGCCCCTGACACACAGCCAGTGCTCGTTAAATGTGCAACGGATCCATGGCTGGGCCTGGGGCGTGGTGGCTGCCCACAAGCAGAGTCTGTTCCGTTGGCAGGAGCACTGTGCCCATTCTGTCAGAACAGAGAGGCCAGGCCCCAGCCCCAAGCACCCACCCCAGGTCAGTGTTGCATGTATGGTTGGGAGCTCTGAGGATTGGAAGGGTCTGGTTGAGGAGTTAGAAGGGCTGAATGGGTGGGAGTGGGAGGCCTGACAGGTGAAGTGTGGCCTTGAAAAGGGACTTTTCTGCGAGTAGAGGTGAAGTGAGGAGCAGGCAGCAGACCTGAGTTGGGAGGCCCCAGGGGGCCAGAGGATTGGAATGAAGAAAGACCTGTTCTGCACAAGGATGGGTTTTCTAATAATGAGCTGAGCTGGGAAGCTCCCTCAAGCTAAATTGAACATAGGATTGGTACAGTGCACCAATCAGAGCAGTGGTTAGGCAAGAATTTCAAGCCCCTTTCAGTTTTACAATTGTGTAAACAAAAGAACACCTTCCTGGAAAGAAGAAATAAGTAGAAAGAAGAAATAAGTGGAAATGGGAACTGCAACTAAAACTAGTTATTTTAGGAAAAATTGTAATAAGCAAAACATCTGATAAAAATTTTTAAGCACATTGTTGGGATTATTTTATTTAATAACTTCAAAAGGCTCTGGGTTCAGATGGTTTTATGTGTGAGTTATTTTAAGGCACAGAGAACGTGCAGGTAAAACAGTTGCAAATTTTGGAAATAGGTGGGAAGCTAATATAACCCTAAAAGCAAAGCAAGCAAGCTGACAAAAGAAATCATACGCAGCCTTTCTGATCGGATGTGGGAAGTCCCAGAATGTTCTAGGCAGCCCCAGTCTCTCTGTGTGGGATAACACTACTGCCCCTCCCTGCTGTTGCTCAGGTCCGGGCCCTCCTTCTGCAGGCACAGTCTGACTGCTCCCACCCACTCCAGCCAGCCTGTCCCTTACACCTCCACAAGCCCGCCAGACCATGCAGCTTTCAGGAGCACCTACTTTGGGGTGGCCCGCCTGTGTGTGGAGAGCTGGGAGTGGTGAATGCTCAAAGGGCCCTCCTCCCACCATGCATGATAAGCCTCCTCTCCTGACGCTGTGTTCCTGTTCCCCACAGAGCGGGAAAGCAGCTAGGTCCCTGCATCTGCCCAAAAGCAGGGACAGCGCCAGAGGAAGCCATCACTTTGCAGCACTGTACACGGCCTGTGTGGCAGGCCAGGCCAGAGCCCTCCCATCCTTTCCTGATGCCACCCAGGAACAGGCACCTTGCCATCACCAATGAGATCCTTCCTCTACTTTCTCCAAATTAAACAGGTCATCTGGCCTCTCCCCCAATCCTCTGGAGCCTGCCTTGGCAGAGCTGGCCCTCAGGAGAGGGATGTGAGATGGTAACCCAAGCCCTGGACAGGAGCTGCCTGGAGCCTGAGGGAGTAAAAAACCCAGGGGGTCGGAAGGGGAAATGCCAATCTCGAGCTGAAGGAATTCACTCCAGGTCCTCTACATGGAGACAGGAAAGGCAGCTGGCGCAGAGGCCAGCAACATAGTAGGGCGTCAACTGGGCCATCCCCCCAGAAAGCAGCTTTGATTCTATTGCCGGAGCTGTCTTGCCAGCTCAAATGGGGGCCCTTCTAGATCATCACACCTGTCCCTCACGTCCTTGGAAATACCTGCAGACTTAATTTCTTAAAGATAGGACACAGCGGGCACTATGGTTTTTTAACGTATCTATCTACAAGAAAATTCTAACACCGGAAGTATTGAGGGAAAGGTCTTATGAGATAGTGAACATTTTATAAAGCTGCAATAATGAAGGTGCTTGGAAATTGGTGTGGACAGATGAACAGAGGAGAATAGAGAACTTTGGAGTAAAGCCAGATGGGAATTTAGTTCATACTAGAGGTGTTTCAAATTAATGGGAGTAAAATGTATTATTCAGTAAAAGGAGTTGGAACAGCTGATTAGCCATCTGGAAAATAGTAAAACTGCATACTTTCCTCTTCCTACTAGCCTATACTCCAGATGAATTAAAGATTTCAACATTTTAAAAATCATTAAAGTAGTATTAATCCAGTCTGTGATTCTAGAACTTATTTTAAAAGTCTTAGATACCCAGAATTGCTGAAGGCATGAAGAAACAGACTTTTTTAATGCTATTGGTTGAAGTGTCAAATACTATGATTTGCCCACGTGACATTACTAGGTGCGTAGACGCTGACCACTCGCCTGCGTATATTTGGTCATTGCTCATTCCTTGGTGTGGGGCTTCAAGCATGGACTTGAGCTTGGTCATACCTTTCCGATTACACTTGGAAGCTGACAGTCCTTGGTGTCATCTTGACCTCTGTGAACTGTAGTTTATCCACACAGAGTGGGGAAGGGTAGAATGAAATAAACCCCCGTGCAGTGGCCTGAGCCCTAGTGACTGCCAAATGAGCCTCACTGCAGCAAAACGAAACAGCCCAAAGGCCCAGCAGTAAGGAGGGAGGTAGAGCTGTTATCCATTGTACCAGTCAGGATGTGCCAGATTGTGCTGCAGTAACAAACTTTGCATCTCAGTCACAGATCAACTGGGACAGCTTCTGCCCTTTATAGTGCCCTAGGGACCCATGCCAACAGGAGCCCCACTGGATATGTTTTTCTGTGAACACAGAAAGAGTGGAAAGACCCCTGTGAACCACAAGTGATACATGTCTCTCCCCTTCTGTTACCGATTCCCTGGCCAGAGAAGCCACACCTGAGTTTGCATGGATGAGAGCATCTAATCCTCCTGTGGGGTAGGGTGGGCACTCAGCCTTGAGAAGAACAAGCATCCACTCAGTGCAACTCAAGAGTGCAGCCGTCGAGGCCGTGATTGGCGAGCTGCATCGTTACCCTGGAAAGATGCCTGCGTGCGTTTGCTAGGACTGCATGGCTTAAACCAAAAATGTGTGTGTGTGTGTGTGTGTGTGTGTGTGTGTGTGTGTGTGTGTGTGTTTTCCACAGTTCTGGAGGCTAGAAGTCTAATATCGAGGTCTCTACAGGGGTGGTTCCTCCTGAGGCCCCTTTCCCTAGCTTGTGATGGCTGTCTTCCTGTTACATGGTGGTCCCTCTGTGCCTGTGTCCTGATCTCTTAGAGGACACCAGTCATATTATTAGGGCCCACCCATATGACTTAATTTAATCTTAATTACCTCTTTAAAGGTCATGTCTCCAAATAATCACATTCTGAGGTGCTGGGGGTTAGAACTCTGAACTTGGGGGGGACACATTTATACTGCCCAAGATGGATTTCTTTTTTAAATTAATTTATTTGCAATTTTGGGCAGTACTGTCATGAGAACCCTTCTGAGTGTCCCTGAGTGCCCTGTGTAGAGCCCCTCTAGGCCCCTGGAGCAGGAAGTAAGTGCCCAGTTGTTTTGTATGCAGAACTCTCACTTCCTTTTTTTAATTAATATTTTTAATATAAATGTTTTTATTGATTTCAGAGAGAGGAAGGGAGAGGGAGAGAGAGAAGCATCAATGATGAGAATCATCAATCTGCTGCCTCCTGCATGCCCCCCACTGGGGATTGAGCCCACAACCCAGGCATGTGCCCTGACTGGGAATCAAACCGTGATCTGGTTCATGGTTTGATGCTCAACCACTGAGCCACACAGGCTAGGCCTTCTTTGTTTTTTCTTAACTCCTCACCTGAGTATATGTTTTTATTGATTTTAGAGAGAGAGGAAGGGAGAGAAAAACATCCATGTGAGAGATAAACAACAATCGGTTGCCTCCTGTACATGCCCTGATCAAGGATCGAACCTGCAACCTTTTTTTGGTGCATGGGGCAGCACTGCAGCCAACTGAGCCACCCAGCTGGGGCAGGACTCTTCTTAAGAAATATCTCCCTACCCGAGGGTCAAGGACATTACACTGTATTCCCAAGTTTTAATGCTTTGCCTTTTGCATTGACTGTGGACTCTGTAATGGTGTGGTGTGCGGAGGCGTCTGCTGCCAGCATCAGAGGGCCTGAGGAGAGTGGTTTCTCCACCCACCGGCGCGGAGCATGTAATAGGCATGAAAATAAACATTGAATGTGTGAAGCTACTGAGTCTGGGGACTTGTGTTTTCCACAGCATGACCTATTCTATCCTAACCGATAGAGGACCCCGTTCCACCTTTCCCACAGGGAGGTGACTGTCAGCCTCCCGTGCTGGATGCCATGCTGCCCACACCTGTCCATGATGCCATCTCATACACTCCTGTTCTATCCCTCACTAATGATCTAGCTTTATGGGACGTCTTCTTTATCTGGTAGAGAAACATACTCCCCTCCCTTGTTCTCAGATTGTCGTGGCTAGTTTTTAAAACACATTTCATCACAACACAGAAGTGGAGAGGATGGCACAGTGGACCGCATTGTGCCCATCTGGCTCCAGCAGTGATCAGTCCTCAC